AAGGTATTGACCAAGCCCTTGTCAGCTTAGAAGCGCACTTAGAAGAATGTGTATATAAAGATTAAGTTTCAAAATTCAAAGAGTTCTTCTCATTCAAAAACAATATTTGGTTCTTAAAAAGATTTTAAAATTGTTTAAAATCGTGAAAAAAAATTTTAAAATTGCAAAAAAGATAATGAATTGATGAGAAAAGATAATGAATTGATACAACAAGTGGCAGATCTAAAAGATATCATGAGAAAAAAAATAAAGAGTTTGCTTTATTTGTATCAAAAGCAAGAGGTTATACTTAAAATTTTTTTCATTAATAAAAAAGAATTTAATTTATAAGATTTATATTAGGGCTATTTAAATTTGAATTATCTCAGATTGAAAGGAGCTGTTCATCTTAGAGGCGTTTTTGGTTAGTATCATGATAAATTTCAGTATCAACTAAGTTCAACTTTAGCTACCACAATAAACATTATTTTATATTTACAATTAATCACTAGAACAATGGGAGTTATTAAATTTGGATAGTACCGATATTGAAGGAAATCGGGTAAAAAGATGGACCAAATACCTCAATACACATGAAGATGCGTTAGAAAATTTCCGAAACTTTTGGCCAAATCCAAATGAAATCAATGTTGATCATGTGGTAAAAGAAATGAAAAGTTGATATAAATGGCTATCTGAGAGAATATACAATGCACATGCAACTGGTGACTATGTAGAATGGTGTCGTAACATGTTATTACCTGTGAAAAACAAAGATCTGTATATTGAATATCGCATTTATTGAACCTGACACAGAGACTGAGATAGATATTAATACCAGTAACACCATTTGTGAATAATTCAAATATTTTAATGACCCTATGTGAAACCTAATAAACAAGAATTAACGAGATCAATAATTAGGTTGAACAAAGGGAAGCAATATTCATGTTTTTAACTAATTCAGGCAATGTCGAGCTTCTGCCTCCGCAATTACAATAAATCCTAATTTTGATCTATCGCTTATCTCTTGCAAAAATTTTAATCAAAAGTAGTTGAACATTTTAATAAAATGTATTATTAATAAATTGATTATAAGTGTTATACTGCAAGAGATCCAGTGAAACTAACCAAAATATTAATTTACATAAGTAAATTAATTGTATTGAAGTTTTAGAAACTGCCAAAGGAATTTATATGTCAAAAGGTTGCAAGAAATAATGTTAAAAGATTAGTTTTAATAATACCTGAAGAACGCAGGATCGGTGTAAACGACAAAATATTAACAAGAATTCAATTCAAAATGACAACAATAATCAAGATTAAATGTATTATTGCATATGAACTTGAAAAGATGCTACTGCATCGCTTACGATCATTTTGCTTAAACTATCATATAGGACTAACTCTATCTACTTCGAATAGTTCACAAATGATACCAATTAAGTATATATGTTATATGTCGGAATGTCGGAAGGAATTATTTTAGATTTGAATCTACTTAGATTGTAAACCGAATTCTAAATCTAACTATATAATAAAAGTAACTAAAGTTGATTTCAAATCGAAATTTGATATAATAAATATGTAATTCGATTGACAGTATATTACATCTTGCCGCTATAATAATAATTGCTAAAATATTTAATGCACATTTGGGTATTAGCAGCAAATCGGCTAATAGACGAGATAAAGTCTTAATTACATATGAAGACTGATTTTTGTATCCAAGTTTGTTATACATGAACACCAGCAAATCCTATGATAAAACTTATATAGTTTTGATCAAAACTAGAGGTTGGAACCGGTTTTAATAATTCGGGTTTATCACATGAATTTTGTGATATTTTAGAATTTAATCCAATTAAAATTTAATAAATTCTAAAATATCACAAAATTCACGTGATAAACCCGAATTATTAAAACCGGTGTTCGTTGGATTTTGATAAGTTTTCTGAATCGGATAGTATTCTTTCAACGCTTATAAGCTTTAAAAAAAAGGAAAGAAATTGCTTTGCTTTGCGGTAGTAGTTTTTTAGTATCCATAAATGTAAACAATTTATGTAATGCTTTTAATTAATTTGCGATGCGCTGCGTTATAATAAGTCTTCAAGTGACTTAAAATTCCAAAGAAATATGCTCGATAAAAGAATTTAGAATCCATTAATCCACTTAATTTTAGCGTAAGTTGAAAATTCTTTAACAACTCGAATACGATTTAGAATTCTACTGCAATCTATGTTTATTCGAAATCAATTGGATTCTAAATTCACAATAATTCCATTCCAACGTACAACATATACACAGGAAAGAATTGTTCTTGTGTGCATTTTTTTTTTGTCTTGCCTGAACAATTGTGAACACTGATCTTTCAATAGTATTTTTTCTTATTAAGTATTAGGAGAAAATACACGTAGGTTATATACGGTATGCAACAAGGGTTAGCTTAAAGTAGGGTTAGTGGCACGGCTAAAAATCTTGCGTGCAATATGACATGCCTATAACTCACCCTAGCTTAAAGACGGAATTATTAAATTAAGCTTGTGCCTCAGATGCATCCTTGCCAGGATTAGGGTTAGGGTAAAAATTACGGTATAATTTAGGCCAATTATTGCAGATCATTTAATGCTGGTCATGAGTGTAGCTTTATGTATTTTTGACGAAAAATATGTTACCTGTTATATATTTAGCATTATCACATTCTGCTATTCATATATTATTAACAATTAAATTTTATAATATAAATTATTTTGACGATAAAGTTACAGCATTAACTTTATGATTTTCTTTTTAAATATGTAAAGCTCCAGCTCTATGAAACGTCACTGGTTTATTGCTAGTAGCTAGACTATAGAAACTATTTCGGCATAGTTTCTACCTATGTTTTGTCATTCGGCATTGCCTAAAGATGAAATTTATGCCAAAATTAATGGCCAATACCTAAAGCAAAAATTAATGCCACAAGTGTCAAAAAGTGCCAAAAGCCTAAAATATAACCAAATTGGTTACGTACATCGTTACGGTTATATATAAAAGTATCATTCGTTATATCAGTTAAATAAGTTTATAAAATTTAGATATAAAAATATCATTCTTATATAGTCAAATAAATTTATAAAAATACTGTTACCAATAATTATTATATTATTTTAAAATTCTTTAATTCAAACTATGAATTCGGCTTCTTCATCAGATTTTATTACTTCTTCACAAGATAGAAGATTCCCAAAAGAAGTATTATAAAAGGCCAGGCTAATCTTGAACACGTGGAAAGCCAAAAGAATTAAAAAATCATTGACTACTGAATGTCCAAAAGCCGATATTGATACTAAACAATTTCTTCGAATCGTAGTAGCTATAAAATAGGTTTTAGTTTGCTAAAATGTATTTATGTTTATATTAACTAAGTAATTCCAGCTAACAATTCCGAGATTCATAATTCTTCTAATATATTTAAATTGCGACTTTTAATTTAAATTATGGCATTCATATAAATTTTAGTTTCAGCTTTATATTGTAATAGTTGCGGCTCTATTTCTACTAAAAAATTGATAATAAAATATTTTCGACAAGTCGCAATTAATCTTCTACTGTCGATAGCTTCTATATATTTAATTTCGGCTTTTAATTTAGTTATGGCATTTATTATAGGTTTTGGTTTCAGTGTTAATCGCGGCTCTACTTCTACTAAAAAATCGATATCGAAATAGTTTCGCAACTAGTTTCTACGGCATGCATAAGCTAGACACTACGAAGATAAAAAAAAAAATTTACTATTAAAATTTTTTTTTTTGCTGTTTTTTTTCACTATCGCTATATAACTGATGAAATTGGTTTAATTATGTTAAATCACATGTATCGGTAATACAGGTAAATTAAACTTCGTATATTGGTGGTTCGTCGTTATCAGATTCTGATTTCTTAAAAGGTTTGATCCCTTAAATCGTTTTGCATGCAAATTTCTTGAAAACTGTCACGAATGGTCCATCGATCTATATTGAATTATAGCATATATTGCAGAATATTTCAAGTTTCACAATGATAGTAGACAGTTTAAGGGATAATTTAAGTAGTTTTGTGATGCTAAAATTTGGGCTTATAAACCCTAATAAAATTCACTTATATTCTTTTATTAACAATTCTAACCTAAAATTTATTAAAATGTTTAACATTTCAGTATCGCCAATTTCAGCACAGCTAATTTAGGTGGAATTTAGGTGTGAATTTATTTGATCTATAACATTTTAAACTCTCTAAAGATGTTTATGTAAACCTATGTCCCTCCCATTTCTGTATCTTCTTCTATTCCGCGAATGTATAAGACGTTATTACATCTGCGAAACAAATTAGATATTATTTAGATATTTGGCGAATAAAAAATCAAATTGTCAAACTAAAAAAGTCAATGAATAAAGTCAATGATAATACGAACCTAATTAATACTTCTCCAAGAGCACCCGTTGAATTTCCATCTACAAATTCTTCCGTATTGGCGAGCTATGATGATAATTATATATAGTATAGTAATGTTATAGATATATTTTCTAAATATACAATAAACAATTGTGATTTTTCATATTTCACAAATTAAACTTCAAGATATTAACTATGATACCTGTAAATTCATGTACGAGTCCACAGAAACTAAATATCCTTTATATTCCATGCCCCATTTTAAGCGGACGATTACTGGTTTTCCGGTCAATTCTTGAAGGAATGGTTTTGGATTTACCGGTTGAAACTATATAAATATCCAATATTTGAAATCAATACTTATAATAAAGTCGATAAATTTATATAATCATTTTCAAAAAAGAATGAAAAAAAAACTTTTTTTTACCGCCATTATTTTTCAAAGGGGAAAGGAAATCTGAAATTCCTACCATATTGTAAGTTTGTGATCATTATATCGGCCAATCATTACTAAATTGTCGATCGTGATCGGCAAAACCTGGCACAGAATTCTTGCGTTAACATTAAATACTTTTAAACATTTGCAAATATTTAGTTAACCGTCGGAAATGAACACGCGCGCAAAAACCGCTGGCCTTATAAAAGAATTTTTCTCTTCCTCTAATTATGCCGTCGTAGGTGCTTCAACAGATCCCTCAAAATACGGCAATAAGGTATTAAAATGGTTTGTATTTCAATATACCTTAACGTTACAACTTTCCACAATGTATTTTTGACTATGCTCGTTTATTAGGTATATTAATAATAAATATTCAGTAACACCCGTAAATCCGGTAATTATTAATTACTATTATTGATGTGCAGTTATTTATTATTTTGTTATTACTAAATGATTACTTCTTTTATAAGAATGAAACAGAAATTGAGGGACTAAGTTGTGTTCCAAATTTATCTTCGTTACCAAACTTTGAACCTAATAATACGTCTGTTTCGATAATAACACAACCAAATGTATCAAAGGATATATTGAAAGAGGCAACAAAAGTATTTATTTTTTTATTTTTTATTCTATTTTTCATAACGCAATTAATTTTCTAATCGAAAAAATAATATTAGTTGGGGATTACTCGTATATGGCTTCAACCAGGGGCTGAAAACACTGAATGTCAAGAATATGCAAAGAAAGTTGGATTGCAAATAATTAGTGGTGGTCCTTGTGTTCTGGTTAATGGGGTTAAACTTTAGCAAGTTCATCTAAATTATATTTTTTTTATAGTTACTTATCTTTGCTATATAGTCATAAATAATCTTTTTAAAATTTGTAAATACGTAGTATTTAATATACAATAAAAGTTTTGTAATAAAAAGCATGAGCTGCACTAATTGACAAAAAACCCAATTTTCTATAGAGCAAATTTTTCCTAAACTTTCTTTTTCTGAGAAACCGTTGATATAAGATTCCTCATGCTATGTCATAATCATTGTATCGCATACATATCGATATCATTGTCATTGTACAAGATCAGGCGCAGAAAAGTCGTAAAAATCGTGACATATAAATATCATGATCTCTGTAACACGTTAAATACGTTCTAAATTCGATTCGAAAGAAATTGAAAGAAATGAATGGAATATGTGCAAATTGTAACCGACATAACACTTCTAAAGCTTGGTGTCAATCATGTGACCCTAAGAAGGCAACTCAAGGATGGACAAGTGGAAATAAAGATATAGATAATTGCATTAAAGAATTTCAACTTAAAACTACAGAATATGAAAATGTAATCGAATGGATTCCTTTTAATAGATTAGATAATATTCAAAACATTGGAGATAGGTTTTTAGCAACCTGGTTAGATGGTATACGATATGTAGATAAAGCCAAAGGTGATATATATACACAGTCACGTATACCATCATTTAAAGTGGATCTTAAAACATTAACTAGTTCGCAAAATTTATTAGATATTTTAACAGAGGTAAGATTATATTATTTTGTGCAGTTTAGTTACTAACGTTTTAAACAAATTCTACTTATATATTTATATATTTATTTATAAGTTTAAAAATTTGGTACAATTAAACAGTATAACAACCTTCTATGGATTAACTCAAAACACCGTAACAAACGAATATATGGTAGCATTTGATGACTTTGGTTATGATAGGGATGAAACTAAGGGAAAATGTGCAAATTGCAACCGATATAACACAACTTTAGCTTGGTGCCAAACATGTGATCCTCGGAATATAGTATAAGGATGGACGAGTGGAAATAAAGATGTCGATAATTGCATTAAAGAATTTCAACTTAAAGCTACGAATTATGAAGATGTAGTCGAATGGATTCCTTTCAATAAATTAGTTGGCATTCAAAATATTGGCAATAGATTATTAGCAATCTGGTTAGATGGAATACGATATTTAAATGAAAATTATAAATCTAGATATGAAAGTGAATATACACAGTCACGTATAATATCTAAAGTAGATCTTAAAACATTAACTAGTTCACAAAATTTATCAGATGTGTTAAAAGAAGTAAGCTAAAGCATTTAATATTATTATTGCATAAGATAGATAATATATATAACCTTATTTTATTTTATGTTTAAGTTTACGGATTATGTACAGTTAAAAAATCATGAATTTAAAATATATGGACTAACCCAAAATACAATTACAAATGAGTATATATTAGTATTTGATGAATTTGGTTCTAAAAGATTCGACTCTAACGGAGAATGTAAAAGTTGCATCCGGTATAACACATCACGAACTTGGTGTCAAACATGTGATCCTCAGAAAACAACACAAGGATGGACAAGTGGAAATAAAGATATTGATGATTGCATTAAAGAGTTTCAGCTTAAAGCTACAGGATACGAAGAAGTCATTGAATGGATTCCTTTTAATAGTTTAGATAATATTCAAAACATTGGTGATAGGTTTTCAGCAACCTGGTTGGATGGAATACGGCACGTAAATTTTAATCATGAATATGGACATATGAGGTCACGTATACCGTCATATAAAGTGGATCTTAAAATACTAACTAGTTCACAAAATTTACTAGATATGTTAAAAGAAGTGAGCTAAAACATTTAATAGTTTATTATTATTGTATAATATATAAAGTTTTTTTTAAATTTATATTTATATGTTTAATAAGCTTACAGATTATGTACAGTTGAAAAATCGTGAACTTAAAGTATATGGGCTAACTCAAAATACAATTACAAATGAGTATATATTAGTATTTGATGAATTTGGTTCTAAAAGATGTACAATTAATGGAACATGTGCAAATTGCAAACGATATAATACTTCATATTGTTGGTGTCAAACATGTGACCCTCAGAAGACAACACAAGGATGGACAAGTGGAAATAAAAATATTGATGATTGCATTAAAGAATATCAACTTAAAGCTACGAAATACGAAGATGTAATCGAATGGATTCCTTTTAATAAATTAGATAATATTCAAAACATTGGTGATAGATTTTTAGCAACCTGGTTGGATGGAAAACGATATCTAAAAAGTAATTTCTTTAGTTATACACAGTCACGTCTATCATCATGTAAAGTGAAACTTAAAGTATTAACTAGTTCACAGAATTCATTAGATACGTTAAAAGAAGTAAGTTAAAACATTTAATAGTGTATTATTATTACACAATATATAACTATATTTTAATATCATTACGCGTTAATAAGTTTTTAGATTATATAAAAGATGATGGACTTAAAGTATACGGGCTAACTCAGAATACAGCTACAAATGAATATATGATAGTATTTGATAAATTTGATTCTAAAAGAAATAGAGATAATAGGAGATGCACGGATTGCAATCTATATAATACATCTAAAGCTTGGTGTCAAACATGTGATCCTCAGAAAATAACACAAGGATGGACAAGTGGAAATAAAGATATTGATGATTGCATTAAGAATTTCTGCTTAAAGCTACAAAATACGAAGAAGTCATTGAATGGATTCCTTTTAATAGATTAGATAATATTCAAAATATTGGTGATAGGTTTTTAGCAACTTGGCTAGATGGTATACGATATGTAAAAACAGAAAAGGGTGATATCTATACACAGTCACGTATACCATCATCTAAAGTAGATCTTAGAACATTAACTAGTCCGCAAAATTTATTAGAAATGTTAAATGAAGTAAGACAATATCATTTATTATTTAATTAATAGTGTGTATACATAATTATATTTATCTATTTTTTCTTTTATAAGTTCAAACATCATGTGCAATTGGGAAGTCGCTTAGAGGATAAGAATATCTTTGGATTAACTCAAAGAATCTTTGGATTAACTCAAAATACAATAACGAATGAATATATGATAGTATTTGTTGAACTTGAAAGAGCTGGACGTAATGGAAAATGTACAAATTGCAATCGATATAACACTTCTGAAGCTTGGTGTCAAGCATGTGACCCTCAGTAAATAACACAAGGATGGACAAGTGGAAATAAGGATGTTGATAATTGCATTAAAGAATTTCAACTTAAAGCTACATTTTACAGTAATGTGATCGAATGGATTCCTTTTAATAGATTAGATAATATTCAAGAGATTGGAAAAGGAGGGTTTGGTTTAGTATT